GATGGGGTCTTGCTATGTTGCCCAAGCTGGTCTTAAACTTCTAGCTTCAAGCAATACTCCTGCTGGGCCTCCCAAAGTGTTGGGATGATAGGTATGAGCCACCGCGCCTGGTCTGGGAAGGTAATTTATTCTGGAGCCACACAGCCTCCCACCCAGGTAATGAGAGCCCTGGCTTTGAGCTAAAGTAGAGCCCCTGCCCCCTGCTGCCACCAAGAAACATACCAGGAGGCCATGGTTCTGTCCTGTGTGTGTGAGATGAGTGCCACCTCCTCAGGAAAATCACCCCAGCCACTCAGGACCATTCAGTCCCAGGCATGCTGGAGGGACTTGGGGACATTGGGCTACAAAGAACTCTAACCGTGGGACTCAGGGGTGGCACCCTACAGCATCTCCTTTTCAGAGCCCCTCGCGGTGAAGTCCCGCCCTGTTTCAGGTGGGAAGGAGGCCCCAGTACTGGTTCTCAGTCACGTGTAGAAGTTCTACATGGGATCTTGGATTGCCAGACGGAAGGGTGAGATAGAAAGTCACAGTTCTTTTATGACTCTGTAAGCTTGTTCAACAGTTGAATCATTGTCATTTAATTTTATTTTACAAGCGGTAGAAAGACTCGCCGGGATTGAAAACTGTGTATCATCTCCCTAGGAGATGACCTAACAAATAACTGTGATGCTATTTCAAAGGCATTTACGGCCACTCTGCAGCCTCCTGTAGACAGGCTGACAGGTGGTGGCAGCCCAGCGTGGCTGTGCGGGGGAAGGGGTGCTCGTCAGCAGGAACGCAGCTGCCGCCATCATGACCCAGAGAACCACTGTTGACATCCCTGTCTTTCTGCCTTTTATGCAAACGTTTTATTCTTTTGAGAAGTGTCCACTTTTGTCCTTACGTTTCTGCTTTAAGTTTTTCACACAGTGCAAACGTACTTTGCAAGTGTGGGGACTCCTGGATGGCATTGTGACCAGGGCAAGGGCAGGCGTCCCACAGACCCTCTCTTCTGCCCAGCCTCCTGCTGGGTGCCATAGGAAATGGGCAGAGAAGCCACGAGTCCAGCATGCCAAGGAGGGAGGGGCAGGCAAGGCAGAGAGGCACCCAGGGTGCTTGTGAGGTTCCAGGAAAGGACAGAAACATTGGCGAGCTTCTGGGAGGAACTGGCACGCCCTGGCCCTTGCAGAGTGGACAGGGTTTCAGAAGCTACAGAAGGGCGGAGAGGGCCCTCGGGAGCCCAGCAGGCACTCAGAGCAGCAGGAGGGGGTTTGGCCAGAGGTCGGGCAGGAAATGAGGCCGGACTGCACGGAGAACTGGGTCTGCTGCAGGGGCTCCTCCCTTCACCCTGCAAGTGTCTGGTCTGAGCAGGGAACCCTTCTCTTTCTTGGTCCTGTGAGGTTTCATACGGCACTGGAAGATTCCTGGTCAAGCAGCTGTAGAACATGACCCAGGCACTCGAGTTAGCCTTGCTGGCTTTGCCAGTTTTTAAAAGCAGCCCTGGGCAAGATGATGGCGCCTATGGTTTCAGCTACTCAGAAGGCCAAGGTGGGAGGATCCCTTGAGCCCGGGAGGTTGAGGCTGCAGTGAGCCATGATCATGCCACTGCACTCCAGCCTGGGCAACCGGGTGAGACCCTGTCTCAAAAATAATAAAATGAAAAGTGAAAGCAGCCCTGGGGAAATGGAGACAGTGGACAGAGCAGGCTGGGGCACCAGGTGTGCATGTGGGTGTGAATCTGTCACGAGAGCTGTCCTGAATGCCCTTAGTGCCCCTGAACTGTATGCTGGAAAACAGTGACAAAGTGAATTTTGTTATACAGACAATTAAAAAAGAAAGAACACCCAGGCCTGCTTCCTGAGAGTCTGTGTCATTTGACTTTCCCACCACCAAGCTCTGCGCGAGTTCCAGTTGCTCCGCACCCTCATCAGCGCTTGCTGGTGGTGTCAGTAACTGCGCTGGGAGGAAAGAGATTTAAGGCCAAGGGTGGCCTAGCGTTTGGCCTCTGGAGCGCAGCTGTCACTGGCTCCTCACTCCCTCCCCTACCTGTATCGTCGGCGGGAGTGAAAGGCACAGTCCCAGTGTGTGTGGCTCAGGAGAGCCCTCCCTGGGCCCAGGCGGCTCTTCCAGCAGGGAGGGCCTGAGCCGGATACAGATCCCACAGCAGAAGCCTGAGCCTCTTGGGATGGAGCTGGGCTGACATCTGAATTCTCGAGTAAGACTGGAAACATCATCCACTCACAACGTGGCTGGACGGCATGGGGAGGGCTCCGTGTGCCCAGGTTTGTGGCACCTCGCTGCTGGGTCACAGCTGAGCGGGGGGCCACAGCTAAGGAGTGGCTGCAACCAGGAGTGGGAGAGGGGAATGGGTGCAGCTCACTGGGTCTCTCTCTTGGTTTTCTCAAGGTGTGAGTCCATGGCCCCAAAGCTGGGCAGGAAATCTGCTGCCCTCCCAGCCTCCCAGGCTCGGCATTTTTTTTTTTTTTTTTAATTGAGACAGAGTCTCACTCTGTCACCCAGGCTGTAGTGCAGTGGAGAGATCTCGGCTCACTGCAACCTCCGCCTCCTAGGTTCAAACAATTCTTCCACCTCAGCCTCTGGAATAGCTGGGATTACAGGGTGTGTCTCACCGTGCTCATCTAATTTTTTTATTTTTACTACAGACAGGGTTTTGCCACGTCGGCCAGGCTGGTCTCAAACTCCTGACCTCAAGTGATCCGCCCACCTCGGCCTCCCAAAGTGCTAGGATTACAGGCATGAGCCACCGTGCCTGGCCTCAGGCTCGGCTCTTTTCCTCATTTTTGGCTAGGGGTGGGCTGGGTGGGAAGGTGTTGGGGGGAGAGGAGAAGGGTGGCTTTTGAAGCTGATATTCACCTGCAGGGCCCTGCTTGGCTGCTTTGCAGACCCAATGTCTGCAAACAACAGGACAGAGGTAGTGAGGACCCAGGCTGGGCTACGGAGACTTCAAACCTACAGAGTGCATGAGGCTGCTTCCTGGAACTGGGCATGCCACCTGCTGCTGAGGACCCAGGCTGGCTCCCCGCGTCTGTGCTGGGTGCTCTGGGCCCCCATCCCCTTGTTTCCCAGTCCACCTGTGTATCAGCACTCTACAGAGGGTATAGATGAGACAGGAAGAGTGCACTGAGGTGAGAGCATTGCCGCCTCGGATCATCAGGAGCCTGGAGCATCTATTTCACCTGGTCAGGAGGGTCCTGGGTATTTCATTAAACAATAATTCTTTGAAAGTGAAGGGTCTGTGTGTAGTATATGTAGCATACCAGGGCTGGGTTGCAAGCAACAGAAACTATACTGCCCCATGTTAAGGGAAAGAAGGAAATATTTTGGAAATGTACACTCAGTGGCTTCTACCATGTTTTGAGAAGGACAGAAGCCAGAATAGCCTTTGGGCGGGGGTCTCAGTAGTTGAACACCATCAGCCTACCCTGTGCTTCACTCAGGTAGCAAATCCTGAGACAATGGCCTCTTGGCTGACCTGATGTCCTGAGCCCTCCTCCCGTGTGGCCAGAGAAGTGAGGTCCTTTGGTTGGTAGCCCACCAGTGTCCCACAGAAAGGGACAGTTTCCCCAAGTTGTGGATGCTGGGCAGACAGAAACAAGATTACAAAAACTGGTAACTCCCTATGTTAGAGTCCATCTGTCACCCAGACTGGAGTCCAGTGGCATGATCATA